GAGTACGTACCTGGTTCAGAGCGTTCAGCGGAAGATGAATAGAAGCGCGTATTTTGCATAAAGGAGTAGATAGCTCCATTTTCTCCTTGTCTTTTCGGCTATCTCCTCAGGTATCAGTTGATGCATTGGATGCGAAAAAGGCACTTCTTGATTGCGGTTTTCAGAATCTCAGTTGCTAATTAATCCCTTGGAGAAGAATTTAATGGGTGACTTTTCGAGAATTCTTTCCGTAGGAAATTGTGGAATCATAAGGAATATTCAGTGAAATTTTTAATGAAATGGGTGCATTTACTTTCCTTACAATGAATGAAATATCAGAGGAGACTCTGAAACACTGCAACCGAGAAGTGCCCCTTTCGCATCCAGTGCCTCAATTTCATGAATCACCCCTCAGAGGAGGGTCCTCGTTTTCCCGTGGAAAGGAAACTCCGAGAAAGTGACCACTGTACGTCACAGTGCGTTGTGCACCGCGTTTCTCTCGTCCCTTCCCGTCACAAAGAGCTTTTCCAAAACAACCCAGTATAGTAATGGCTTCCACTCGCCAAGTTCCGTGTTCCGAGTCTCGTTTCCCGCAAGTTTCGCCGACAATGTCCGCCTCCCGCCGATAGCTTTCGCGACAAACCATCGGCTGATATTCCCAGTAACCTTTGACCTGTGTTGTGTGCATTTTGCCAGCGCCCAGGGGATATGCAACCTGCAATGTGCGACGAGCCAATGCGACAGTCTGTCACGAGAGCCCCCTTACATTTCGACTTGAGTAAGTTCTCCTCATCAGATTTCACAGTTTTTTAATCAGAGGCCTTCTCTTTTTCTCTTTCCTCGGTGTCGTACTGCAGTTTTAGTGGCGTCGTCTGACGCCATCAGGAAAAAATGATGCTTCAACCACGTCAGGAATGATATGCAAACGTGTGCGGAAACATGTATTACATCCTTCAATTAACAAGGAAATTGCATAAATATTCTATGCACCTGCACAAATTTTCATTTTAATAATGGAGGGGGGGATACAATTTGAGTAATGATCTCATCACAATCACTGAATTTCATTAATGAGACAGGACTTTTTACATCCTTGAAGTCTCTGGGGCAACACATAGTTTTATCAACTGCTCAGTATGCTTTAATAAATAATTTACGGGCGTACACATGAGCTTAGCGACTTGATTCAGGATAATCCACAATATTATTGGCATTGAGATGGGATTCAAGGACGATCTGTTTTTAAATAGTCTTGAATTTGTAGGTTATGTGTGTTGTTCAATGAGAAATGAGGGTTTTGGAGGACAGGGCGCATAAGTGCAGTTTTTGCTACTTCGAGAAATACGTATGTGAGGTTCCGAAATTGCATGGATCCTTATGACGGGAAAAGAGTTCAAACTGACTTTTTGATGCTTAAAAATTGGAATTTGGGAGCGAATTTACCACAGAGTATGCTTTAAGACTAGTTATTATATTTGAAATCGTTAATATCTCAATTTTTTCAAAAACTGTTACTTATGCGCCTTGTCCTCCAAGCCCCTGAAGTGTACTTGCCGATGTTTATGTTCAAAGCTTGAAAGCTGTTTCATTCTGGATCAGATTGAATAGGGCCCGTCCTCAGTCATCAGGCATGGAATCCCTGTGAAATTAAAATGTGCATTTTTTTTACATGCAAAATAATCGGACGTACGATATTTATGCTGCAAATAACTTTATTGCACGCAAACCCTACACTCGTACTTCTTTTTAGCATAAAATAGTCCAATGGAGATGTTGCATGTGTGAGGGATTTGCGATTTGACCATTGATTCTTATGTAGAAGTTCGCGAGACACACGATGGTGCCACCGGTTTTCTCTGAAATCAACTCCCAAGCTCAAAAAAAGTTCTCAAGTTGAGGCCAAAATGGAGGAGATATCCCACCCTACCCTGAGAGTCCACCTCTACATCAAAACAAACTCTCCATGCAAAGATAGGGAGCAAATACATTAGCAGGGTTGCCGTGTTTTCAGTTTTGGAGTCCCCAAATAAAGTGGCAGCACTGTCAACGTATTTACTCCCTATCCTTTGCATGGAGAGTTTGTCTTGATGTAGAGGTGGACTCACAGGGTAGCGTGGGATATACCCTCCATTTTGGCCTCAATTTGAGAGCTTTTTTTGAGCTTGGGAGATGATTTCAGAGAAAACCAGTGGCACCATCGGGTTTCTCGAGAACTTTTACATAAGAATCAATGGTCAAATCGCAAATCCCTCACACATGCAACATCTCCATTAAAAAGCGAACATGACGTAATGAGGGCTGATTTACCCAGAATCTATTTACATATAACTGCACTGTACACGTGTGCTTATTTTTTTTCTCATCTTTCACCCATCAAAGAATGAGCTAAGCAAAACTCTACCTCAAAGTTTGCGCATTTTGTGAGTATTTTAAGTTCATTCCGTCAAACTTGAGGGAGGGAGGGAGGGAGAGAGGGGGAGAGAGAGAGAGAGTTTCAAGACATCATTTTGTTTAGTTTTTAGTTTGAAACGTAAAGCAAAAAAGAAAATTAGGTATCATGAAACACAGTGACGCTAATTTCACTAAGTGCAGTCTGTTTTCTTTATTTTTTCTTTTTCTTTTTTAAAAATAGAAAATTTATGAGTTTTGAGAGATTATCGATTGGTGTGGTTTCATTCTCCTGCCCTTTTAATATGAAGCGTTCATTTTTGACATCCGTACACTTGCAAAAAAGTTCATTCATTTTTCATACAAGCATTTGAATTCGTAGAATAGTATTAATCGTAAAAGTAAATCCAGTGGATTTTTTTTGATGCAATGGTGTTTTCTGAAAGTATCAACTCTGATAATTTTGAGACTTTTCGTTCTATGCCGTGTTTTATTCTCAAAAGAACAGGACGCAGCCCCTGAAGAAGTAACACCCAAAATTAATTTGCCTCCTTCAAAGAGGAGTGAGGTGCATTACCTCTTTGACCATCCGATTGCATAAAACCTCGATTTCTCCCCATTTTTTGGTAATTTTGGAACGATTTCTCTAATAATTTACTCAAAGGTTGACTGTTAATGAAATTAACTTTTGATGACTTTTAATGTTAATCTAAAATTCTGCCAAATCAACTGGATAAAAATGGTTCATCCATGACGTGACGAATTTCACAGCCAACACGACGAGAAACTGTTAATAAATTAAGTTTTTTTCTCATTGTCAGTGCATGTATGAGCTCTTTTAAAAATAAACTGCTCAGTGCTCATAATATCCATCCATAAACAACTCTCATCCATTGATAAACCTTGATCAATCCAATGATAACGTGAAATATGTACTTTATAATTGTAACTATGCAGAATTGAGGGAGGGGAGGCGAAAGTACTTCCTACGCTTTCAGTTGGTTGCGAGATAAAGTTTGGATCAAGAAAATGAGGAAACAAGCTTCCAAATCTTCCTAACGATTTTGAAGCAGGAGATGCATTCTGAATACATTAGGGGACTTTTTAGGTGCCTTAGAGGACCAGGGAGTCCTGAACCCTCCACCCTCCCCCTCCCCAACGGTATAGCGACCCTTATCCCTGCTTTCATTCCACGAGCAAGTAGATTATTCTCGCATCATAAGTGTCCATTTTTCATGTTGGGAGGCTCGCGAAACTCTTTCAACCCGCGAATTTCCACAGGAAACCGCGTATCCCTGCACACGGAGACAAGCTGATCCAGTTTTTCCGCCTTTTTGGGGGCGGGGAGGGGGAGAGGCGACCATTTTGGATTCCAGCGCTAATGAGACAAAGCCTCGTAGCTCGACTTTCCATTTCAATTTTCATTACTTTTTATCGCCGCCGAAAAACCCATTTCATCTCGTAATAAATCCGTCTCGCTGGGGAAATATCTCCTGAGAAGTTTCATAGCGAAAAGCGGGATTAAATTTGGGCCCGGTTAGCCAGCCTTCCTATCGTCCTCCTCTGAAATTGAGACGTTGAGTTGAGAGGTGAATGCACAATCGACCAGTTTTCTAGCCCCCATTTGTATTTTTTTTCTCTTTCTGGTGAATAATAAGAGTTCTTTAAGGGGCATTATTTCCTAAATTTCCGTCCCCTTTTCGGTAAAGATAAGATATTTTAAGATAACTTTCAGATTTTAAGATAAGATACTTTCTCGTAAAAAGATATGGTAACGGGTTTGGTTATAGGCTGGCAGTGCACTGAGAACAATCATTTTGATCGTATACTTGGAATATTTGTAAATTTTTTCGAAAAGTAGTCGATTTGTGTTAATTTTGGGCAACAATGCAGAATGAAATAGAAACTACGGTTTCACTAAAGGTGACAGGTTACGTAAATACTTGTCGCGAACGCCAGATGAGGAGATTCCCGTCTTTTCTCGCTGTGATGGAACGTAAGATCGATTCCAGGTGTGCAGGTAAAAAGGTGCTGAGAAACGTGAGCCAGGGCAAAACCTACGTCTACCTATTCTTTCAGTGAAACCACTCTGTAAAAATTCGGAATAGAGTTTGAACCAAAGACCATCCAATTTTCAACCCATTTTCTGCATGTATCTCGTACGATTTTTAGAGAATCCGCCCTGTTATAATTATACCAGGAGACATTTCCGATGCACTTTTAAAGTGATGAGGTTGACTTTTAAAAACTTCTCGAAAAATAATGTAAACAAATACTGGATGGCTATTGTTCCCTTATGGTGATTCGTCAAGCTCAAGTGCCGTCAAACTGGCATGCGATGTATCGCATCAATGAGGTCAAAAAGCTCGGCAGATTTTGAATTTTTAGCGGTGAAAAGGACGATAGCCCTTGCGCAAAAGTAGCTACAGAGAAATGAAGGCAAAATATAATTAGGAAAAAAGCGAGTTTTTTTTCCTAACTCTATTCCGCTTTCTTTTTTTTGAATTTTACCAATATTTGGGTTTAAAATGGTTCTACAGGCTCATGTACAGGGGCTATCGTACTCTTTACCGCTGAAAATTCATAATTTGCCGAGATTTTTTACCTATCGATGCGATGTATCGCATGCCAGTTCGACTGCGTCACTTGAGCTTGACGAATCACCTTAATGAGTTTTGTGCAATAGGATTTCTTTAAATTAAACTTTAACTCGATTAAATGTCTGCATGCAGGAAAATTTTACCTCAATGTCGATTTACTAGTATACAAGAGAGAGAAGTTATGGTAGCCTAAAATACGATAGTGAAAACGCAATAAAAACAGTGGGAAACAAGGCTAGAAAAACTAGTATACCCATCGGGAAAACATTTTACAGTCGTTAAAATCTTTTAGTCGTTACGATTGATATTCTCTTTTTTAAATGTTTACATTCGCTAGACTCATCCAAAGAGCAAGGGATGAGAATTAATGATTCGAGAGACATTTCATCAGCCCACAAGTAATGTTGCTTCAAAATATGAAATGAAAGATGTCGCTTTATAAATACACCGAATGTTGAAAATAATCCGGATGTATCCTCGATGATTTCCGTTTCTCTATCGTAAATCCTCGTGACTGCCAATGAGTTTTGGGACTTCGTATACCTACATAATTTCAAAGCGGGCTCTTTGCCAAGATTTCCTCCTATAGTTGAAAAATCCGCTCGGCGCTGAGTGAAAAGTAATTTTATGAAAATACGCCTCAAGTTGCTCAGATTATAGTTGGCAGTGCGCGGAGCTTTCTTTGTCGTAAAAGTTGAATTTGGAGTGAAGGGGAGGAAGCGATTCATTGGAGCATCAATGCAGACATCCTGCGAAATCATCACTTTATTCCTCTTCTTTCAGGAAAATGCCCGTGTATGCCCCGCAATACTTCATTTGAACGGCATTGCCAAGATACGATTTACAGAATCTGATAAATTTTGGAAGAGGGGCCCAAGTTCCTGCCCGGAGGAAAATTTTCCGTTAAAGCCTTTTTTGTCTAGTCGAGTTCCGAAATGCGGCATGCGTGTGAACTTTATTTTGACAATTGACATTAGCAACAATTGTTTTTGGCTCATTATAGCAACAGCATTTCGTAGTTTCTTACACGAAGGAATGGGACTCCATTCCCAGGTTGCCAAATTGACCGAAACAATTCAATTTTTGCGAGAATAAACCTGCATAATTATCGTCGAAAATTGGTCTGATTATTGCATAGAATCGGAGGAAAAATTAGTGAGATTTTCAGTTCGGAATTCTCGAAATTTTCCAGGTAAAAATGCACTTTGCGCGGGGAAAATTGACAACATTGAAATGTAATTACGTTCTTTCGTGAGGAAAACGACGATAGGTGTCATCAGTTTCCCTATGCAGATAGCCGCTTTTATGGATCATCCAGAATCAGTAGTATCTTTATTGCAAAAAGTAGTCCAAGATTCAGACAAAAACGCTCTCGGGTATTCCATGCGGTTGTTAAATTTTAAATTTCTTTTGTCATAGTGCAGCCTGAAGAATTATAAACCATTAAGACGTTTCTTCTTTCCCTTGATTGCAGGTACGAGTATGCCCTGAGGGAGAGCATCAATTAAAAGCAAATAATGGACGAGGACCTGGACAGTGAGCCGGTGGCGCGGGTCAACTTAACAGCTTTCGGGAATTGGACTGAGTTCAATTCGGAAGACCTCGAGGAGATTGGTAATATTACGAAAAATATATTTCTGGATCAATATTAGTATAAGTTACACCGTAGTGCGGGTTACTTCATAGTTACCCTGGGGAGTGCTAGCTCTCTGAAGGGCTTTGGGAGGATAGGGTACTTTGGCGGCTGGTGTCGCAGAGCGGCAAAGAGTGCTATGAAGGCGGCTTTTACGTCTGTATGTACTCCGCATAATCATTATTAATCCTTGGGTCAGAGTACGGAACAATGGTTAGTTTTGCACTGAGGGGCCGTGCCCCCTGTCCAACCTCCAAGGGCGCTCCAAAGAGAGCTTTACGCTCTCTATGACTTGATCTAAATAGAGCGGGATTTTCTGGGGACTTTTTCCCATTAGTAGACGCAAAACCTATGAAAATTGGCCATAGGTTGATCCCCTGCACGAACTGTGACAAAAAAACGAACCTTTACATTGTCTAAATGGGAGAATTCACAACTTTATCACCTAGCTTGGATCGTGTTTATAAGCAAGGCAATAAGGATTATTAAGAAAGGTAACTTACTGTCGGGGTAAACAAAACGAAGGTATGCTCTTCACAGAGAGTTTCAACACAAAAGTTTGTTTCATACAGGAAGTAAAACACAAAATAACCTTATCCTTTGGTCGACAATTTCAAGAGGAAATGCAAGCTAGTTTTCTAAAAGAAATTGAATAAAGAACGAGTGGTGAATGCCAAAGTCGCCATCGGAAGGATGCAATTTCCAGGCTCTACCATTATTTTTTTGTGCTAAATTCACCGTAAACTCTACAAAAATAAACAAAAAATTTGTGTTAGTTTTTGTTTCACTTCCTGTATTAACCAAAAGAACACCAATAGGTAATGTAATTTCATTAGTATTCCCCTTTTCAAACATTCGAAATCGACAAAACGCCCCTTTCCGTTTGTTTCGTTTGAGTCTTGACAGGGTATTTGAAACCTGGGAGAGATTGGACTAACGAGAAGTCAAGTATGAAAATGCCGATTTCCATACTCGACTCTCATTGGTCCGACCTCCCTCTGGATGGGAGCGATTGGACCAATTAGCGTCAAATATGAAAATCGGCATTTTATGTGAAACTTCCCGCCAAGATTGAAACGAAATGAATAGAACGGAGCCTTTTGTTGCTTTTGGATGGTGTTACAGCAAAGGAGTTTGTTTTGCTTACCTTGCCCTACTGCCGTTTTTGGCTGTTCGTTGAGGTGCGTTCACACGGCATGCCGAGTTGCTTGTCAGGCCCAAAGACATAAAGACGGAGCACTAAAAGCAAAAAATGAAGCTTCTAGAGCTTCTTTTCAATCACCTCTACTATTGGCTAGAGGATTGGCGGCGAAATCGGGACAAGTTTGAATTCAAATGTAGGGCGGGAACTAATAAATAAAATTGCGGAAACAAAGTATTTTAGGTTGATTTTTGCCCAAATTCAGGTACACACTCATATTTTTTTAACTTTAGGTTAGTTTTAGTCCGTCGTCGACCGATTAATTTCATTTGGGAGTAACGTTGATCTAGAACTGTAACGGCCTGTTTGAACCTGCAGAACCACCATGAGCAGAAGAAAAACTAACTTTATCTGAGATTACTGCCTGTTACCGAGCAAAAGTAGGTGTATTATATTAGGACGCAGACCGAACTTTCTTAGTATATTCGTTTTAGGAATTTAAAATACGTTTCAAAGAAGAAATGTGCAAAAATCAAGAGGACAAGTTCAAATCAAATTTCCGTTTGCCGCCATGGATTCCCGCGCTCATTTACACACTCACACAAGCGCGCAGCGCCGAACCTAGCTTCACTTTTTCCCCGTGCTTTTAGATACGAGCGCTCCGTCTTTATGTCTTTGGTCAGGCCGCCTGACGTGCAGCTTTCCTTCTTTGGCGGGAATTTCAAATAATGCTTATTACCCCATACCTTGGTTAGCTTCTCGTTCGAAGTTAATCTTTGAACTATTGAATGTATGAAATGACTTTCACATACGATTTATTTTTGAGAGAAGTCACCGGCTGACATTTAATTCTTGAATTCGTGTATTGCCCGTGCTGGTTCTACAGTGGCAAGAGGAGGTGATATTTTTTTATCTTCACTCTCAGATACAACGATGCAGTGGGATGTGTGAATACGGGGGTACCACCCGTGTCGCGATGAATGTCCAGAAGGATTGTTGCCAATTGTAAGAAAGCAACAATTTCCTCCATTAAAACCCAGCAAAATAATAACAATCAACATTTTATCGCAAAACCTGGCAACTTTGCCCTGAAGGTAAATGGTCTGTGCTTAAAACGGGCCTCGGATCTTCATGAACATAACGCCTTTTCATTGACTATATGATGTGCTCAATTGCTCATACAAAAGAGTCAACACCATTTACAGCTGTCCGTTATAACTTCATCAGAGCATTCGAAAATTATGTTGAAAAGAAGTACTATAACTCTCCGTTAATTGTCACAATGAAACTTTGATTTACTTGATATACGCCTTTTTCCGTACATGAAATTTTGAGTGAAAACGTACCTAAATGTGTGAAACATCGACCCTGGTGTAAACTACTGAAACAAACCATTTTAGTAAAGTCTCTTCTACAGCTCACAGTTCACGCTTCATAATATATATAATGATTAAAAATCTCGATAGTAAGAAGAGAGTAAGTCCCCTTGAGAAAATCTCAATAATTAAAAAAAGAAAACATATATTTATGTCGCTTCCTGTTTTTTAAATTTTTTGGAGCCTGAATATCAAATGAATCAGAGCTACTTTGGAATCTGGATCGCACGCTCTGTATTTCAAACCAGTAGATTTTTTGTTTTGTATTTTGTGAGATTTTGGGTACCTAAATTTTTCCCCGAGATAAGAACTTCCTATTCGTGACGGGCGAGACTCTACTCTTGCGATTTCAAAGTATTTTGCTTGGCAAAAATGACTTCCTTCTTGATATGAGCATTTCCGCTTGATTTCCGTCCTGGCAAAAGTAATTTTAAAACATGCTGAACTCACACCCAAATATAAGAGATCGAAGCATGCAACTTCATTCTCAGCCGACTCTAATTACCTGAGAAGATTTTCATCTTAGATGTATGTTTTGTACAAAAGAAACCGTCAACTTTATAACATTAACCCCTATGGGCCTTTCTCTTTTTCCAGGTTTGACTGATTTACAGACCGTGATCTTAGCATGTTTAGCAACTTTAATACCTCTGACAATAGCTTTAATTACGGCCCTCATAGCCAGGTAAGCTAAATTTTCTTAATAATTGAACAAAATATTAGATAAAGAAATCAGGTAGACAGCTAGGAACCATTTATATGCCACTTGCTCAATGCTCTTGCACATTGAGATAGAAGAACTTGCATTTGCCGCCAGGGCCGGATTTAGGGGGTGGCCACATGGGCTGCGGCCCATGGCGGCAAATTTAGGGGGCGGCAAATATTGCAATTTTTTTAATGTAGCTATAAAGAAAAATCGGATTCAGAAAAAAAATTACAAACGAGAAAATGTGACAAAATCTCTCATTTCCTATGAGTATATCTCTAATTTTGTCGTCTTTCTGTGATACAACGGACAGCACCTTGTAAATAGTTGAGTTAAGACTAAGAGAGAAACCGAACACGGAATTTGGCCTGGAACGGCGCGGCGCAGAGAGCAATGATGACGAGAACCTGAGATGAAAAGGAGAAACCCTCGGCGCGGCGGTCGGCATGTAAGACATATTAGCGCCTACAAGACTGCATGAATACTTCACGCATTGCGTCAAAGACAGCGCGGTCGCTGCGGTTAGCAGCGGGCGGCGTGAAACGCATAGCGCCTACAAGACTGCATGAATACTTCCCGCGTTGCGTCAAACACAGTGCGTGCAGCAGCGGTCGGCGTGTAATGCATAGCGCATACAAGATTGTAGGAATGAATACTTCATGAATTGCACCAATCACAGTGCGGTCAGCGCGGCGTGGCATCGGAAGTTAAAATGATGAAACCACATTTATGTTAATTCTTTCATGATTTTTTCGTTCATTTCATATAAATGGAAGGCCTCGCCACAAAGAGAGGAACTTAACTTTCGCGCCAAGTTCCGTGAAATTTTGCCAGTAGTGTTGACGGGGCTTTCGCAAAAAATGTGTTCAACACGTGTAAACGCGTCTTGTGCACCCCTCCCCCTCTGGCACGTTCATTTGATGGTTTTTATTGATGTTTCAAAATGAATGAGAGGAGGCGGCAAAATGCAGGCGGCCCATGGGCGGCAAGTAAGTAAATCCGGCCCTGTTTGCCGCCAAGAAGATTTTCTCTTGAATGAAGAATAAAATCGCTAGAATCGAGCCGGATTCTGCTTGATATAAACGATTTCCTTCTTGGTGTTTGCATTTTTTCTTCTCTATTCAAGAGAAATTTTTTCTTAACAGTAATTTCAATTCATTTCTGCTTAAATAAAGGCACTTTGTTATAATAGTACAAGCTGTTTTGTGCAGAAAAGATGCGAGCTTAAGGCTTGAACTTTGGACACTTACCAGAGTAAAATTTTGTCGCGGTAGGATACTGAGGTCGTATTTACACTTATTTCGGTGAATCTCTGTCTTTTGAGACAACTAGTAAAGGAGAAAAAAAAGAAAAATGTAAATTTTGTCCGTTTACTGTTCAGTATATTCCAGTTTATTTTCATAAAACCGTCAAAGGAAATGTAAAATTTACGGCTTATCAATGACACATAGGATATTAATTCAGGATTAATTTTGAGAATTTCAGGAGTCAAGTACCTATGGAAAAGATACCTGTCTGCTTAATGAATCGCCCCTCCTCTCCAGTGTTTCTGCGGCTTCCTACACCTCGATGAAAAATAAAGAAAATTGATTCCATGAGAAAAATATGTACACGTGCAGGAATTTTTATATTATTGTGACGTTTAAAGGATCAAATTGAATGAAGCCTATTATTTTGCCGTAATTTTATGCACGGCTCCTCTCATTATGAGAGGATCTCATCAATGTAGATCGGGAAATTTCATTTTGAATACAATCTTTAAAAGTTGTTTATTTACGGCCCGTTAAAAATTCCATACCTCGAAAAACATGCCTTAAAATTAGTCGTTCCTTTTTTGGGATGAAAAACGAGAAGAGCAATAAAACTTACACCTGCAAACTAAATTTTCTTTCTGGTTTGATCCATGAACGTCACCACAACGTTAAAAATAGAGTTATGCAATTATAATTTTCAAATTTTGGAACAGCGTGTCTGTGATGGGAAACGTTTGATGTTTACCATACTATGCATTAAATCAACGATCAAAACAGTGCCATTTCAAGAGGCACGTATAGTACACCGACAGGAGGTAGTAGCAGGTGTTGCATTATACATTACTCACCTGTGAAAACAAATCTCATCATCTGTCGACTGATCCATCAAACTGTCCAAAGTTGGTGGAGGCAAGTAACTTTCTAAAGTTATCAATAAAAATTGAACATTATCGCATGAAGGTTTTTTTATTTATTTTTTTTTTTAAATTTTAAATCCGAACTAGTAATTTAGTAACAACTTCAAATGATTATGTCATGCCACCTCTGCTCCATCGGAGGCCATCAAAATGTAAGATCCACGGCTTTATTCATGCGGTATAATAATTTAAAACAAAGCACATATCAATCACTACACCCATTCAATTTTTAGTGGTGGATGGGAGTGCGTGATTTCTTTTGACTTCTCAAAGCTCTAATTGAAGAAAGTACTTTATCTAAGACACTCTTTACGTAGACCCTCAATTACGAGTCGTTTGTAAATTACATTTAATTAACATTTCTACATCCATTTAATCTACGCTCCATTGGTAAAAGTATCTTATTCATGTGTCCCCCTAGTGAACGTGCCGTTTCACTATGATACCACTATTCGACCACGTGAGAGCTCGGGTTGCCTACACTAAAACTTGAAGGCGAACTGAAGTGGCGTCAAAGTACCTGACGATGTGAAGAACTGCTAATTTACGAGTTTACTCTGAGTGAGCTTGCCATTTTACAACGAAAATAGCGTGAGGAGAGCACTTACTTTACTGACCATTTATTGGTAAACGGTAATTTTGCTTGAGCCCAAGTTTGAGCTCACTTCATGAGACATAAAACCATATGATTAAAAATTATGAACGTGTTGACGCAAATCTAAGAAAAGCTATCGTGTCTGCGACAAATTCACCTGTAGAGACGGTCTGGCTATTAAATGGAGGATCGTGTCTGGTCATTTGAGGTCCAATTCAAGGTATTGTTTGAGAAACAGGTTGTTAACCGACTAATAGGTGGGGAATCCTTCAAACCATTCATCGTGATTTGAATTTCGGTTTCAGGTGCTTCTGGAAACGGTATCTGAAAAGAAAAGCAATCAGGTGCCAAGGAAGTTTACACAGGATAGAAAGCTCAGATCCCCGGCACACTCTTCAGAGCTCATGTGATGAGGTATCTTTTAAAACTTCAAAACTTCGCATGAACAAGATAACTTCTACCTTTTTATTTAACGGCACTTATCACTATTCACTATACTTCACCTGACTACTATTTGACAAAGCATAGAGGAATCAACAGCATCAAGCTAAAATGACTCAGCTGCACATCAATCTTGTATCATGAATATTTTGAAGATATAAATCGATCATATTGGCATGAAAGTCCATCCATTGATAAAATGAGTGGCGTTTTGAAATTTGAATGCAATACACGTACTTTTTAATGGGGTGAAAGAGTAAAACAAATTGAACATTTGATTTTTTCGAACTTTACCTGGGAAAGAGCGAGAAGGGGGAGGAGATCCGTAGAACAGTGTCTCTTTTCCACCCTCTTAAATGTTTGAAAGTTCTTAAATTTTCACGCGAGAGATGAGGTTGGGGAGGCAGATTTTCAATATACTTTGAATATGCTCTTTTTTCCACACGATAACATTTTTCACCATTTAATATCATTAATCCCAAAGGCAATTTCTGTGGGTAAATGAATAAATTTTGATTTTTTCACAGATGAAAACCAGTGAATCTCAGTTTTCCGTGATTCCACCGGAGGAGATTGCAGAGGTCATGTCTTGTTACAGTAATGGCATGGCTTTAAATCCAAAAAGCGCATCAAACGGTAGCATTATTACCCTGACCATGAGAAACAATCATCTAATCGTCGAGAAGGAGGAACGGATGCCGGTACTAAATATTTTTATTTTTTGGATTTCTTAGTTTCTTGACGAGGAACTTTATTCAAGAAGTAAACAATTGATGTGCAAGACATTTTTTAAACTCAAATTATCAAATTTTTGTCTCATTAATTTGTGCCAAAAACGCCCTCTAAGATATTGCAAACATTACTGACCAATCATGCCTAAATATTCCAATAAAGAATTTTGTGACTGAATCATCTCTGGAGAATACATTTTCCAGTACTTTTAAGGCATATTTGGAAGCCCTCTCCAAAGTAAAGTGAGTAATTCTAGCCTGGGAAAAGAAAAAGAAGAAGAGGAAGGAGAGAAGAAAAGATCAAAATTAAGAATTTCTTTGCTCCTTTTTCACTCTTTTCTTCCTCTACCTCCTTTACTTCTCTTTTCTCTTCCTCCTTCTCAGGGGAGGTTAGGCCAGGGGTGCTAGGGTGCTTCAGCTCCCAGAAATTCTGGCAGATGACTCAGCGGGCTCCGGCAGGTTTCTTGTAGAGGCCCCCAAAACTTGAAAAATCCATATAAAGGAGGACCATGGGTTAGTCAGTGGGGGCCCTACCTGGGGGGAAGGTGTCTCAAAAACGTATCAGCACACCAATAAGTTTTGAGCTAGACCGAGGGCCAGAAAGGTAGCGAAGATTTTGAAACACAGTAAACGAGATACATGGTTTGTGAGTTCCACCATCGATATGGCAGAGTGTCCTGAGGAAAAGAACTATTCAGGAACGATCATGAATACGGCCTTTAAGGCACGAAGACACACAAAGGCAGCCCAAAACGGAAATAGTAAGATGGAAACAAAAAAACAGTGGAATCAAGGCTAAAAACACACAAAATTACGCAGAACGTTTCGGTATCTCACGACACCAGTATAAACTGCTAAAAAAGTAAAATAAAAATAAAAAAATTGGCCTCCGGCCAATTTATGCGCGGCGCTTCGCGCCGCGTACCGGCGCTACGCGCCGGCATTTGGGGGGCTTCGCCCCCCCATCCGCTTAGCGGATTGGTGCGGGGACCGCACGGGACTTTCTCGCTCGAGCCGGCGCTTCGCGCCGGCATAGACACTTTTACTGGAATATTTAGACAAATACTGCCAATTTTACAAAATCATAAAGTTTGATTGGAATTTTGATCACAGGATAATAGTTATGAAATTTTTATTCAAATCATTGAACTTCATTGTAAATGTCTTCGCGATATGTGGTGAATTCATATATTCGGACTCGACTTGTTGATTTTATGAGGCATCTTCAATTAAATATGTAATTGATTAACTAAGTCTCCTGTCAAAGATGGCGATCCGTAAAAATCTTAGCTTTTCTACGATTCATTAGGATCCATTAGATTCATTGACATCATACTTCAGATACGATTTTATATTATAATCTCTCCTTAAGCACGGTCAAAAGCCATCAAATATCTACTTGAATGGGTAGAATGACTATTCGATGTTCAAATAGTCTTAAAACTAAACGGTTTTCGCTTAGCATCTCCCAAATTTTAAATTTGGCGGGCGAATCTACCTGCTGGAAGGTTCACGACACGTCCGCCAGGAGCGCCATCTCCTTACCGCGTATCCCCGTAACTCAAAGCGAAAACAATAGAGAGCGCCATCGACAAACGTCAACCAGAGAGAGACCAGTCAACAAACGTCACGTTATAACAATTATAACCTCCTTCATTAACAAGCATTAAATCAGTCATATTTGTGCCGAATTATTACATTATATTTGTGCTTAGTACCTCGTAAAAAGGAACCGCAAAAGATGGAATCTGCCGGGATTCTAAATTCATTAACAACAAACATATTAGTTTTTAATAAAGATCTAAGTGTCAGTTCTTGGCGTTAGCTTGATGATTCATAGTACCTTTGTAATGTGAGTATGTATCTAATTAGTTGTCTAATTTTGCTTTGTGATTACCTACGGAGTAATTTTGGAAATAGTATATGATGCATCATATAATGCATTTGAATTCCTAGGTTTCACCTGACTCAAAGCGTTTGCTGCTATTATCTAGAAGCGCTCCGACTCATTTATCAGAGAATTGAGCGTTTCCTATCGGCCCCTCTGCAATTATGAGATTAGTCCATGAATCCTTTAGGAACTTAAATTAATGACTCAGATGGTGCTTTCGAGCCAACTTTCAAAGAATTAAAGGCATTTTTTCAAAATCTACAGTCCATGAGCTCTCCGTGTGACCGAAGTGCTCTCCTCGCTATATGACGCGTAACCCTTCAATTTTTAGTTTAGTCCAAAGACCTCGTAGGAACTTAAATTAATGAACCAGGTGGTGCTCTTATGCCAACTTTCGAAGAATTGAAGGCATTTTTTTTTATTTTTTTTCAAATTTACAGTCCTTGAAAATGAGCTGTTTCGCGGAGCAAAGTGCCCTACTTTTGGGCCTCGTATCTCTTGAATTTTGAGTTTAGTCCAAAGATCTTTTTGGAACTTAAATTAATGACCCAGGTGATGTGCTTGATGCCCATTGTTAAAGAATTAAAGACATTTTTCAAAATTTACAGTCTTTCAAAATGAGCTTTCCGTGTGATTTTGCTAAAAATGGACAATTGAGCGTAGCCCCCCCAAATTTTAGCGTACCTCAAAATCGTTGGACGTGCATAAGGAGACCATAGATATGGTGTCCTGTGCCAATTTTGAATGAAATAGAACAGATAGATTCTGAGATATCGCTGTAGACAGATTTGGGGGACGCCACACGGACGGACACACATTTTTTCAAGTATGGTTATTTTTACTCCTGGGACCTTAAAACGTCTAGAAATG